AGGACAAAACTTTCACAAATACGAGGGAACTTTCAAGATATCCTTTTAACAAATGACATTTTTTTTTACTTTTTCGATTGTAAGTCCCACTTTTGAATAAACACTTTCTCTTTACCCAGATTAATTTTTATTAGATGCGTTATACATCGCGTATGGTTGCAACAGAACAAGCAATACAGGAATGCAAAAAGTATTTGTTTTGGCGATATAAAGGATCAGAATGTCTTTTTGTGGGCGGGGGAAGCGACCTGGAGGATGAGGAGAATCGGTAGTGTAGGGTCTGTCGTTGAAGCTTGTGTCGGATCGATTGATCTGTGGTGGCTGAGGAATTCTATGGAAGTCTGACTGTCTACTGCCCTGGGTGTCGCGAATGGATCGCGGGGTGATACATGACTTTGGCGGCAACGTGATTGGTTTCATTTAAATTGCATTTTATATTTCGAGGGATTTGTTTTGTGAGCCGGATATGATGTTCGGAGCCCCTGCACAGAGAGCGACATTTTGATTTTTGATTTTACTTTCGTAGCGTTTATAACCGGTCGACATATTACGATGTGGAGTGAATCAGAAAAAGATCTGATTATAGAAGATCTGATTATAAAAGCAGAATATACAACAGGTGCTCAAGAGAATAGTTTGAACAAATTATACCTTTCTTTTCTTTCCAAATTAAAACTATTTTAGATAAAAAATACTTTCAGTTCTATTCCTGTGAGCTTAATTACTCTCCTAATAGTTTTTAATTTAATTTTTTTCTATATAGAATAATTCCCATCGTCTGCGCCTGCGCCATCTTTTCTGTCGTCTATAACAACGCTACCCAAATAATTCAATTTCTGTGTTTATTTGATTTTGACATCTCCGATATATAGCTCGAGCCTTGGGTCGTCTCTTTTGTAACATTCTTTCTTCTAAAATTTAGTTTTTTCTTCTTACTTTCCTCGACTAGCTTGTGTAAGTCTGTTCAGTTTCCTTTCTGAATTAATCCTGGGTATGTTGATAAATTACATCCGGCAGCAATGCCTCTGATTGCGAGATTGAAGGTTTTGAAACACCTCTTAACTGCCGTTGTTCCCAGGTTCATCCTGGCCGAGGGTGGCAGTACCTGTTAGGGTCCCAGCTATGGGCAAATAGTGAGCCCCACATATAAAAACAAAACACTTTTATACTAAAAATACAATTAATAGATTTTTATATTAAAAAAAATTACCAACACCACGTAATTATCGCATAATTACCAACAATACATTTTATCGGGAGTGGAAGGCATACAATTTCGTTCAAAATATTTTTGTTTTCATAGAGGTTGATATGCCGCTAAACAAAATCAACCAACCAAACAAACAACATGAAAGAACTCTTTTATGATATTAATCCATAATGACTACAATTTCTTAAAGAAATCAAACTGTATTTCAAAATATAACTTCAACAAAACTATAACATAAAATACACATATCATATGTATATACACTGAACCTGATTATCATCTGCCATGAACTTAATTGTGAAAGCAAAAAAACATATTTTTATTATTTCAAAGCTCCCAAGAAAATTTAATTTTGGTATTAAATGACCCATGAGGAGTTGATATGCCGTTAAACAAGCAAATCAATCAATCAAAATCAATCTTTTCTGAATCTGCCATCAACACATTGTCGTCTTTTTATCTTATATTTTAAAGGCGACATGAATATGTCTACCACTTCTCTTGATCTTCACCTCGCTGTACATCGTTATCATGCACCCCCCACTTCTATTTTCTGTGTTGTGTAATCAATCTTTCTCTATTTGCGTGCAAACTTGTTTGATCTCAACAGAGCTTACTGATTACTAAGAATATGTTTACTTTGTCAGCAAACTTTTCCAATATATTTCAAATAGGTCGTATATCGCATCTTCAAATGGCTTCACACTTTCACCCCTTTTCTTAATTTCTCTCTTTCTTCTTCTTCTTCTTCTTCTTCTTCTTCTTCTTCTTCTTCTTCAAGGTTGAAATCGAACTACACACGCGGCGACAAAAAGCAAGCAGAATGAGATCGATATTTGATCGATGCTTGTTTCTTCAATATTCTTTTACTCTAACTCCACTCCCCTCTCTCTCTCTTTCTCTCTCTCTCTCTCTATCTATTTATATATATATATATATGTGTGTGTGTGTGTGTGTGTGTGTGTGTGTGTGTGTGTGTGTGTGTGTGCGTGTGTGTCTGTGCTTGCGTGTATGTTGTTTAAAATTTGCTTGATATACACGGAAAGATTGAAGAGTATTCAATATCGTAGAAGGCATGAAACTACAATTACAATGCAATGTGGATTTTTTTCTTTGTCCTCATTGTTTAGATCAGTGGTTCCTAAAAAGTGTAGCACACCTTATAGGTGAGGCGGAAGAGGATAGCAGGTGAGGCTGAAGAGGACAGAAGGTGAGGCGGAAGAGGATAGCAGGTGAGGCGGAAGAGGACAGCAGGCGCGGCGGAAGAGTTTTCGAAAGCCGACTCAGACCGCTTCAGATTTTACATGGCGGAGGCTCCTGTCTCAGCTTTCTTCAAACATATTGCCTCCCAAACTGCCGCTCTCATCTCAGAATGGATCTTTTCTGGAATGCAGAGTTTTATATCCCAGAAGAAATTCCAGGAAAACTTCAAGAGCTAGCCTTGGTTTACCCCTGAATGCTACAGCTATAGTTCACGGTAACCACTACTACAATATCTATCACAGGGAACGGTGTAGTAGGATGCTTACTGCATTCAGAAATGCCCGTAATCATATCAAGTGTGTTGTAGAAAATGCAATGAGTAGCTATGCACAAGGAGTCCAGCCCAAGGTCCAAAACAAACAATTTGGATCCAGGGAGTTCTGGAAGATCTTCAACCAAATTCTCAAAAGAGAGAGAGAGAGAGAGAGAAAGTAAGAGAGAGAGTGAAAGCTAAAAACAGTCAATGATTATAATTATTATTTTGTAGTTATGGTCAAAACGGCACAGGCCTAACAGCCTTACTCAAAATGAACGTTGGCCAGCCCAGTTTTAATACAAGATTTGACACGCTCCCATGCGAATTATCAAAGGACCGCAAACCAAGTTTCCCCGATTCCTAAACATAAATTAAAAGATTTCAAATCTATCATAGGATAAATAGAAAGAGAGTAGGATAGAGAGAGGGGGGGAGACTCCTTTTTCTCTTTATAAGACCACACGTAAAGAGATTATCGTGTGAACATTAGTTTAAATTAATTATTTCGTTTATTATGCAACATCACTTCGGTCTTTTTAATTTGCTTATGTAATCATTGCCTAACAGATGTTCAAAAGTTTCGAGCTCAACTTATCGTTTCGAGTCAAGTGTTTTACGGCTAAGTTTAAAAACCTTATTTTAATCACGCGATATGACCAACTTTTTATTACAATTATAGAATCATGCATAGTTTTCCAAGACCTTTTTTCATTTGACCTATTGCTTACATGGACAGAAAATCAACTGTTTTTTATACTCATTTTTTGTTCATATATATATATATATATATATATATATATATAAAAGTGAACATTGGAGTCAACATTCAGAGGCGACAGGCTGTTTCATGCTGGACGCAATCGTCAGGACGCGAATGTTGGATTTTTCAACATTTTCCTCGGCTATTTATATATATGGGTCAGTGGTGCATTGTGGGTAATCTAATCTGGCAGTTATTTTTGCGGCAGTGGCTTGTTTGTTTATTTGTTTGGTTTAATTTTTTTACTTGTTTTTTTTATTTTCATTTTGTATTATTTATTCTTTTCGTTTTTTTGATGTTTTATTAACGCAGTAAAAAATTGGAGGGGGATTTGCTTAGGTCGCTTATTTAATAGTTTGTTTTGGTCTGGGAAGATAATTAAAGTTATTTATTCGTCCAATGTTTAGATTGCTTGCCATAGTCTATTCTGTTATTTTGGTTGGGGACAGTTTTTAATTTATTTATTTGGATTGATTATTTTTACTTGTTTTTGCTTATTTATGCGTATTTTTATTAGTTCGAACGGTTATTTCAGAGGGGGCTATTTGTTAATTTGCTCATTTATTTATTTATTTGGATTAATTTTTTATTTTTATTTATTTACTTATTTTTTATTTTGT